AATGTACGCAAGCCCGTGCTTTACATTGTCCGGAAAACACGATTCCTGTTTACTGCCTTCGACGAGTGTTGTGTTCTCCAACAGAGGCTGAATTGGAAGGTGGATAGAAGAAAGAAAGCGACACGCAATGGAAGTATGCGGGCAGCCTGCTTGACTCAATGGGGAACACGATGCGGAGCCAAAGCCGTGCAAAAGGGCCTGGCATGGCCACCCAGTTTTGACGATACCTGAACGCAGATGTGCGACGAAGAGTGTGTGTGTGTTTACGTGCGACGGCGAAGTGAACTGTCTAAAACGGGTCAATATGCATGGCTGTGCAAGACTGCCGGAAGGCAGTATGATCCTGATTTACACTAGCCATTCAGATTACCAGCACTTTTCTGTCTGATTGTGACATGCCTGAGAAAGGGTCGTCTGTTTAAGAGTTTAAGATGTTGATGACTGCTAGGCAAAGACTAATTTGTCACAAAAAAGAACTTATTTTACTTTAACAAGAGTCTGGTCGGCTAAGTTCGTGCACCCATGCATTGCAGACACTAAACCGCCATGTTAGATCCTAATCCCTGTATCGTCACCAAGCTACACGTTGCCAACACTGCACATAACTCATACACGCGCACGCACGCACCTCAGGCTAAAGGCAATGCCCTGCTCCACACACAGCGCAATCCAACTCTGCCAAATGGACTCGTATCCTATTCACACCCTATCCATTCCGACAGCTTCTGTCCCTTGTGGGAAGTCGTGTCAGCGACAAACCAGTGACTAGTTTTCAACATGCAGGGTTGGCACCTTATCAGATACCGAATGTCTTAAGGTTCGCAAATAACAACATTGCTTACATCCAGCTTTATCGTGATGTTCAAGCTACCGCATCACACCCGCGACTGAGGGCTGATAATGACAGCTTTCAAGGTTTCTAAATACGTGGTTTTAACACCCATGGCCGTCTGCAAAACCCAACACGAATGACTAACTGGACTAGAGTGTTTCAAAAGAGGTGTGTACATAAAATCAAGAAAACGTAGCAATAACTGCCCTTTTAGTGGTCTGCATGCAAAATAAAGCACAATTTTGTAAAAAATAGCACACAGCCTTCGAAAACTAAAATGTGTGTGGGCATGCCAGTCTGCCCAACGCCGTTTTTTTGGATGTAACTAGACGACGAATTAGGCCGATTGGCCGTACAAGAAAACTACCACCGAAATCGTATGCCATTTAAAATTTAGTAACTGATTTAGCACTTTCTCATCGGCAAAGATGGCGCGCGTCCTGTCTCTGGCACCCACCAACTGCTCTTCCCCATGGTGCTTGCAAATATAACACACAATAGCTTCAGTACAGTGGCCTTGGACGGGATTTACTTAAGCTTACATAACTTAAAGATCACGTGGCTATTAAAAAAGTGCATTCAGTCTACATATGTTACCAACCCAAGGCCACCCGCAGTGTATTCTAAAAACGGTTGTGATGCAAGCATTCTGAGAAAAGTCAATTTCTCGACTTTTTTTATTGATAAAACAATAATTTTGCAGGATTAAAACACCTTTGTTTGCCAGTAAGTTTGCCCAATCAAAGTGGTCTCAAGGTGATTGGACAAATACCTGGAGGAATTGGCATCAAAGTATATCTTAGCCGAAATGGAGTTACATATGTCGGAACTCGTCGCGGAGTAGTTAGATTGAAAGCAGCTTTATAACATGACTGCTATTGTTTACCACGTTTTCTGTGACATTTTTTTTACTTCATAAAGTGAGACAGTGTTTCAGACGGAAGGCATGCCCTTGAACAAGTTACTTAACCAAATGGCATCTACCGGCGGTTAGCTAATAGGTCGTAGTTGGATTTAGAGACCGGATTATGGGCTATTACCAGTTTATTTGTTCAGTGTTAGTTGTTGCCTATGGTCATGTGTCCTTGATCTGATGCACAAATAAAAACAAACCCATCCACGAACATATCAGACAGGCTAAAGAAGAGGATGGTGAAATTTCCGAGTAAAATTACGGCTTACGAGCACTTAGGATGATAGTAGTTTTCAAAACAGTATAAAATTGTGCTGCATGCAATTGGGTCAGAGTTGCATCATAAGCCTATAATCTAACTGCGTCGATAACTTGTAGGGCGTGCCATGCACGTTGTTGCTTTCCGCAACTCATGAATCAAAGCGGCTTTGAACATCATAAGGAATGAACACATTTATAACACCTTAGCACTATCAGCTCAAACGTGACACCTCAGAGGTAAGCCTGACTTCAGCACACAGCAGCACGTTTCGTCGTTAGTCATGCAAAGCGGCCGCCCCGCTGGCGCCTACTCGTTATTGATTCGAACTGGCCGCTAGACAGGACTTAACGTAGCTACATGCATGCCTCCCCCCCCCGCAGACAGGCGAGTGCTAAACGGCCTTCAGCCACTGGAGTTGAGTGGAGAGCTCTTATACGCAATCCTTGGTCAGTAAGAGAAAAGTAGTACCTTAAACAAAGAGATCCAATTATTCCATCACTTTCGCAGTATTTGACGTGGTCAGATGGAATCGAATTTGGGCCTATCTGTCACGATTCATCGTTTGATATGAAAGATTGCTTCGTTCACACTGGTTTTTACTTATCTTTATCGTGCATCGAGGGGTCGGCAAACGTCGTTATTCAGTTAATGAGGTCGCAACGAATGGGCTAGTACCCGGATGTCGGATTCCTTTAGAGTGCTGTTGGATGTTGAAGACATCACGTGGAATCTGAAAAATGCAATGCATCATTTATCTGTTTTGACTGGACGATGTGGGTGCTAGCTAGCTATTTCAGGCGCATTTGTAAGTGCTGGCATGACTCATTGGCTGCGAACACGCTCGCACTCGCACACGCTATCAGACACCACCGCCTTACGCCAACGAACCACCAGTCCACATATGAAGGCGCACGCCTGCATTAAAAGAAAGCCAAACAGCACTATTTTCAGGAATTTCGGCTACGCGCCTGCTTACAAGCAATCTTCGTGTTTTGCTGGTTAAAGACCTCTTGACGTACGTCAAGCTACCTACCAACTGTAATCAATAAATTGTTGACACAGGCATGAAATCCTACATGCAACAAAAATTTCCACCTGAAAATCTGCAGCTATTTACTGGAATGGGGAGATTTAACTTGGGAAAGATCGAGAGTACATGTAGCCAACACAATTTTACCAGCCTAGTAGTTTGTCGGTTTGATAATGCCACGGGTAGATTTTAAAGAAACGCAAGGAATAAGACGGACATTTCACTTCCTCAGCGGCCGGGAAAAGGGGTCTTTTTCAGATGCTGGGGTTTTATGAATTCACCACTATGACCACCAGGATTGATTAGATTTCTTTTGCCCACTGTCCGGTCTGAAACAGCAAACCCAAACGACAAATTGTACCTTTTACACGACCCGAGGGATCAATTATATCCAACATTGAGATAAGATCCTACATTCATAAACATCAAAGTGAAAATTTTTCGCAATTGAGTAGGAGGGTGAAAGCGCAGACAGATGCTTCCACTTCCGTTAGGCCACCCAGATCGCTATTTCCCTAGATCGAACCAGCGACCTCTCTCAGCGACATCGACATACCGCAAGGGGCATGACATCAAACCAAACAAACTGGGAGCAGTTTTCAAGCTTTCCCTCCTCCAAGTGGACTGGCTTCGATGGCGAACACTCTTTTCACATTGACAATGATACCCTGGGACGTGATCTGGCATTTTACAATAATGAGGACCACCAAAAATATTTGGCTGAAATAAATCTTTTGCTACAAGCCACACAGTTGACGGTCTAACTAAACTTGTCAGTACGTGCCGAGTGCGGCGTGGAGCAGATAGCCTGCCATGCCAGTCACTGAAATGCGCGCAGACGGGTGAGAGAAAACTACCGCAAATGTTTTAAATTGGCTGCGGAGGCGGTTCTATTTGGTTTGTATAACCGCAGACTGGCGTACACGACGAGCGGCGCGTTTCGTGGCTCGCTGTAGAGCCGAAGGGTGAATGCTGGCATAACGATTTGGTTAATTCACAAACACACACGGCATGCCTAGCAATTAGTCTGCGTAAAAAGATATTTTTGACCCAATTCACCACAAAGCTACTCCAGTTGGAATACTAATTTGACAATGTCTTGGCAGATTTCTACAGCTGTTTAAGACTTACAACCAACGGCTGGACCGCATAGTGAAAAAAAGCGACTACAATTATATGATGTCAATACTGCTTACGAAGCCTAGACTTCAGCATCTCCCTAAGGGTAACCACCCGACGGCTAATGAATTCCATGTATTTTTTTAAAATCTCTACTTTCTGCGTAACAAGGCTGTGGCAACACACTGCCCAACTACCTGCATGCATTTTACACACATCGTACCTGCGAGCAGCTAACCAAAACAAGCTTGACGTGAACTACGCTAGGCTACTTCATCACGAAATTTACGACGATGCTCAACTCGAAGATAACCAAAGGCTCACCACTCCAGTATCGCCAAGTACAAGATGCAACTCTAAAAAAGCTTTGCTGAACCACAAACTAACAACACGAGAAGACGGGGTGCCTAAACTTCGCACCCAGCGATTCCCCAAATAAAACGAGGTTTTTGGTCAAACAATTTTCTTTTGGTTCTCTTTTAAGAAACAATGAAAACGGGAGGAGCGGGTGGACCGGGAAGCGCTGGTCGGGGCTTAAGATCTCAGGGGGAAGGAACGGAGCTAATGGTGGGAACAGTAGCGGTTGTAAAAAACAAAGGCTCCGCTCACAAACGAGAGGCACTAAAACAGCAAGTGGCGTGTTGAGGAAAAGGAGAGTATGAAGAGGGAGCGGGAGACTGGGTAAGCAGGAACCAAAGCTTTAGCGGGTTCGATTAGAAATTGGAGTTCGCTGTTTGAAAGAAAATGCATCCATTATTGTGATAGGTGGGGTAACACGACGCGAAAGGATGATTGGAATACGAAGATGACGTAAAGAGCGTCGAAACCTGTTCCCTGCGATGCACTACTGTTTCTGTGACTTGGAGGCCGGACCTGCATTCACGGGATGGCGTTTGCCGTTTTGGTGAGCAGGGCCGCTTGATTCATTTTGAGCCTCCTTTTTGGAATCGGTGTAATCCGGTCTGAAGCGAAATCAAACAGAGATCTAAGTCGCATTATAATCAGCACTTTTATTTGACCACATGGCTAATTAAAATTGATTGCGTCAAATGGAACTTCAGATCAGACAGCGGTTAAGCCATGAAGGCTTTCCAACCCAAGTGAAACCTGTTGCAGCACACAGCCAAAAGGTAAAAAAATCAGCCGATTTAAGATATGGGAAAAGTTGCGACGTGGTGCGACCACATTTAGAGCACAAAACTGTAGTTTTTAGTCCACAAGAATCATTTGTGGATCACTTCAATACAAGGACTCAGCCTGCGCTACTCGGTACTGTTTAAACTAGAAGCGGGCTAAGACACCTCAGGTATGTGGGAATAACAACAAACGACGAACGTACAAGTTTGGAAGAAATGATTGCAGTAGCTAAAGCCAGCTGAAATTAAGATTGAGATATCCGAGCACAGAGTGACTTGTGACACAACAGTCAATTTACTAAGACAAACATGAAAACGTTTCGTACGCATTGGAAGAGCTGTCGCCTCCGTTACATTCGTCGACAACTGTTGCACTGGCGTCAACTCCCGTTCCAATACGACCACGCACAGCACCACCACGTCCACGCTGACGGTTCCCGCGACCGTTTCTTCGACGCCCTGCGTCCTCGACCTTTTCCACGGGCTCCATTGACCCCTCACGAGGCGATCCACCCTGATGACCATCCGACATATCACCGGACGAGCGAGGAGGAGGACGACCACCACGTCGTCCAGCACCACGACCAGGCTGACAAAACATGCGAAAGTTTTCTTAGGCGATAACATTTAACTTGTCCAAAATCAACATCTCGTTTAACGTTGCTGTTAGAGAGGCAATTTAAACTAACGGCAAAACCTCTACTGGACAGAACACAAAAGAGAACACCATAAATTAAAGCGTCCAAATGGATTAATAAGCTATTAGAAGAGTAGAGGTTGCGTTGTAGAGACAAATTAATCTGAGAACCAATAATAGCGAGGTGAAGATTCATAAAACGTAGGAGTGTTAGACAAGTGAAGGACTCACATAACCGCCGCCAGAACCCCGTGGAGCATCGTCATGAGGGTCTCCGGCTGCAACGCCTCGCGGAGGATACGAGTTGCCGCCACCACGGGCACCGCCACGAGATGGACCACCGTTTTCCAAGTGTTGGTGGTGTGAGTCGTGCTGGGGTCCGGGGAAGGGTCCCCCTCGCTGCGGAGGAAACTCCCGGAGGAGATCATACTTCTCACACTATTGAGAAAAAAGCCAAGTCCATTGAGCAACCCAAAACCACACAATGAGCTATGAAAATATGGAACAATTTCGAGTGATTTTGAATAAGCAGGTAAACTTTCTCAAATTCGATCAAGCCGAGTTCGAATAATGCTCCCCATATAACATACAGAACACCAAACAGACGAAAAAAAACTAAAGAGGATACAAGAGAAGACAGCAGAACTCAACTAACCTCCAGTCTTTCCAAGTCAAAGATGCAGTTAATTTGGAAAGTAATCAACAGACGTGCCGTATCCACAGACTCGCGAGAACCGACTAAGAAAAATCCGCTTTCGACATCTTTCTCGGAAGGCGACGCTAGGTCAGGATGAATGTCTTCAACCTTAAAAGAACAGAAACTAGCGTTACACAAATACTCATGTAGATTTCTGAAAAAGGATAGCATTCGTCCTAACTGCGAGGCATTGTGAACCATTTTGAACAGCGAGTGATTGCAATAGACATTGCGTCGTTACATTGCAGGCACGTGTCTACCTACATATGCTCACTACTCAAAACAATGCAGTTTAAGAGAGTGAAGACTGGGCATTTAGGCCGACACCCGATTTACAAGCCAATGATTGTGTTTCGACGGTTACTTGGGTTTGTGCAAATATACTAACCCTGATGCAAGTTGGAGGACGCCCATCTTCAGTGGTTTCCGAGTCTACATGTTTGGGAAGAAACTCGGTGTTTGTTTCCAGATTGATGCGCTTCACTCCAGATTTCTCATTGATAGAGAGAATATTCGCCGTCCGGTTGCCAACAATACGACCAATAAGACGTTTCGGCACAAGTATGCACAGCCTACAAAACTCCAAGGCTGAGCGAGCGGATTTAGCTGCCTCATCCGTCTAAAAAAAGTAAAGAACACGTTCAATCACACATGATGCCTGAGACGAGTAGCAAGTCAAGAGTGAGGCCATAGAGTAGCTATCTTACTTCTCAGACAGTTCATTTACACGTCTCAACCTAAGCCGCTTTCTAAAAAGGCCTTTTGTATATCATGGTCTTGCATAAGTAACAATCGTGAGCACCACAGCTACCAGATAGTCAGGTGATGGAGATGTCCGCCTAAAATGTGTAGACTTACCTCAGCGACTACTGTGAAGTGAGCCACATGTTGTTCATTGTGAACCAAGGAGGCAGATCTAGAGCCTGTCTGCTCCTCGTTTTCAGCAGTAGTGCCATTTCTTAGTTGCGGCGCCTCGTCCACATCAATCCGGACAACGCCAGGAATTGCACGGGCGGCATTGATGTTGGCCCCACGCGGCCCGATGGCTAAGCCCATTAGGGAAGAGGGGACATCGAATACTTCTACAAAGTAGTTGTCAGGAACAGAAGACCAGGGTTTTCCTCCCAAGCCATCCTTGCCACTTCCAGCTGAGGATCCATCCTTGGCTGAGGTCTGAATATACAAATTTAGATTATTTTGGTTCGGCAAAAGAACAGTGAAATACGTACCAATCACGGGCAGACAAAATATATATTCTAGGAACCACGTTGGCAAAACCGCTGAAGTTGACTAGGTTGACCCATACGCACACAAGAGCAAAGTTACCTGGTAATATGCGACACAGTCGCGCTTGCATAGGTAGAATGTAAATAACGTAGATGCGTATTTAGGCTGATTGATAATGAGACTACTGTTTTTCTGTGCTTTCACTTCACAAGTAAAAAAGAAACACATTCACTCGAGCATAGATATCTTACGTCGTGGAATTTCTTCGTTTGATTGATGTAACGCAAAATACCCCACTTCTGTCGGAGCATTCGAATATGAATCTCCTCTAGTAGACCAGCAACACGAATTACTTCCTGTGACGGAGACAGGATGACCAGATGGTCCTTCTCGAAGGTAATGCTGGCGGGACCCCCACAGTGACGAAGCATGCACTCGTGGACGGCGGTATCGGAGGCACTGTGGAAACAAAATACATATTTTGGCAGCCAGTTCCCCTATCGATTTCTCGAAATAGTTGTGGTCTAAGATTTTAAGTTCCTTACAAAATCACGTGAGAGGTTACCCGTCCGAAAACATGAAGAGAAAATCAAATATGTGAAACGGAACTGCAGCAGTTCCATCTAATGCTCATAGTTACGAAGCTCAGTATAAGCTCCACGACTGTATAGTGCAATATGCTTTGTTTCTGTGACAGCCACAACGCTTTGTGGGAATGTTTTCAGATATTTGTGGACGAGAATGTGAGTTAAATTGTATTTGACAGTTAGGCCACAAACTAAATAGAAACCGATAATTCACCATCTGCTTGTGTAGCGAAATCAGGCTGATGGGCAATCGAAATGATTACCATCAAGAACTGCCACGAAGCCGTTACCAAAGAGCCCGTAACACCAAACAAAAACGGCAATGGAGGGATAAGTAGCAGTGGGCAAAAACTACAAACAGATTTCGTTTTCAATGCAGATAACTAACATTTTCATGTAGAAATATAATTTAATTAACAAACTGGATTAAAAGCCTTTGCTATGTCAGCAAAGACACGTCAGTAAATAAATTAGCTTTTTATATGCCACTTACGACAGAACGACGACAAGTAAATTCTAATGATATAAAAGTTTTATAAAATACCCAGCAGCGAGCAAAAACGAGAAAAAACGCCAAAGCCCAATCGGAATTGAATTGGGTCACAAGGCGATAGTAGTCAAGACCTCACAGTTGATCGACAAACCGGAGGAATGAATCTGGGAACCGAGATGACGCAACACAGTGTGACTGGGAAACAAGAAATGCGCTACATATATGTGTGGAATAGGCAGGAATACACTTGCGAAAACAACCGCGATCTGCCCTACACGAGCCAGAAAATAACGAATAAGCACTAGAAGCCTACACGACACCCTGAAATCTGTTCAAATTCACTAATTAAATTTTTTTAAGGGAAACAAAAGGGTCACACAGTCTACGCTTTGACTTCATGCGAAAAGACGATGTAGCGAGGAACAAAACTTGGTGCTAACTGGTTAGGCTACAAAACTGAGAAATTGATTCACCACTTGGAATTAATATCGTCTGCCTGACAGATTCACCTGAGGATTTTACACCTATGTCTAAACAATGCAGATACGAAGCGAGAGACGGATTCGAACTTACTAAGGCAGGATTTCTGGAGGGATATTGATTATGTGTGTGAATAAAGAATCTGAATTAAGAGAAGGTGCGTCTGGAGCTGACGCAGGGCGAAGCATTTGCCGTTCGCAAATCTCCGTCATTGCTGCCAAGGTGGCAGCTAGCTCTGTATATTCCTTCGGTGGAGGTGGTGCCGATTCGTCAGTTGCAGGTAGAACTGGACGCAGTTGGACAACCACGTGGGCACCGCGGACCTGAAAACATTAGAATTGCAGAAACCATGACTTTAGCCCAAGGATCGTATATAATTGCAGATATAAATGTGTCATTACAAATACACATAGGAAGTTGACTGAACTGCAACAGATGGATGCAGGTACTACAACAAGGCGAGTCATTTTTTGCAAAATTTGTATTTACTGCGCGAATCAACTGGAAATAGGCTTGCTATTGGGAAATTATATTTTGCCTGCAAATGTATGCCTGCGTACTTCTATTTTGAGCTACGAGGCGTCCATGTGGCGATGAGATTTAAAAAAATCCTGCGATAAAGTCCTACGGAAACTAATATATCTTAATTGTATGTGTCTTAGTAATTTTTTTTGTTTTTTGCCATCGGTTTGTTGGACTCCAACACACGAACAGCCTACAAATTGTCAGGATTTTAGGCAAACGATGACAAGCAATGCAGTAGAAAATAACCTGCCTTTGTAACCACACATGGCCACCACGAGGGGCATGTGAGGCAAGAGAACGGGTTCGCCAGGCGCGAAGCTGAAGCCGTCTGTGGAACAGATTGTGATATTTTTAGATTCGCCAATGCCTCTGTGAAGCTGTTGTCGGGCGAATTCTCCTTTACGGCAACTGGAAGAAGAGCCTCGACGCGAAGCTGCGGCGCTAGCGTCCTAAATAACGAATGAAAGTTTGGTCTATTTAATTATGCAGCAAACAATGAGTTCGGAAATGAAAGCACTACTACTTGGTGATTGGTGGTAGAAAACTGGTCATGAAATAAGCATAAAAGCAACGTGCCGGGGCAAGGAATAATTGTATCGCCCATGTCCTGGTTTTGCAGTTAAAGCAGTACAGCACAGTTAGTAGATAGTGGCCAAGTAGCTCTATCGGCAAAGCTGCCATTCATTTGAAAAAAAATTGAAAAGGAAAAAATTTCAACAATGCAGAGTTAACACGTACAAACCCCTATCCACAGTAGCCACATGAAAACCAAGATCTTACTCACATTGATTCTGACGCATACGTAGGGGGGAGGCGCAGTTCACTCAATGGTATCGTTTCTTCTGACGCAGGACTAAGACTGAGATCATTAAGATTCTGGACTTACTCATCAGCATAAACGATAACGCCCTTATCCTCGATAATTCGTCGCAAGTAACCCTAAGAGATTACAATTACAAAAAAAAACAAAACAAACCTTAATTAGTTGACCGTAGTGACCCTTGATTTCAACCTCAATCATGACTCAAGAAAAAATAGCCCCACCGTGGCGCGAACACTCAAAAAGCGTTGATTAAAAGTATGATCCATACCGACACAGTTCGATCTAACAAACAATGATGTACTCAAAAGTGATTCTAAAGTAACTTGTACTAATATGCAAAGTTATTGTAATTATTATTTTTTGTTTAATTTATAATACAAATATTTTAGTCGGTAAATATCGGTTTGTCCACTTAATGCTAAAGTGTCCTAATAATTCATTGATTTTGGAAAATTTAGCAGCAAACGGCCTAAACGAATAGAACAAAAATTGCTTCAATGATACGATGCCATAATACATAATATAACTTTTATCAGTGTTTCGAAATAATCTGTGCAGGAATGTCGGTTGGCCTCATTTCTCTTAACGCTATTAAAATAAATTTTTAAATTTGGCCCCTGGTAGGGAGATTTTCACGCTGCCTTCTTAATAATCACATTCTTATTCAAAAATGCAAGAATTCTTCTCTAATATTATTGCGTTGTGTCGATTAATTTTTTTTATTTTTTTATTTTTTTTTTTTCAACGCATGTTTATGATAAATATTTATCGCCATCAGTGTAGCCCAACGTTAATGCGGCTATTGTATTTTTTAGTACAGGGTTAATCATTGGCAGTGCTTGAGTCTTTTCAGCGTAATTTGAGTAAATCTGTAGTAGAGTATTGGAGCAGTATTACTTCCAGTCTGTACATCTGAGTTTCAGGACCACATCCTAACTTCTTCCCCTTAACCCGTTCTATCTCACCACGTTCTTATTTAGCAGCTTATTTATTCAATTCCTTTCCTCTTTTAAATTGTATAAATATCAGTATAAGCCATCAGCGAACCATGAAAGTTTTCAGGCGGTACCTATGACTCATTCTATGCCAACAAAAGTGGTTTATTTTAAGCCATCGACAATGGTTTATCAACATTCTCACGTTTAAATTCTGTATTTACAGAAGGCACCAAAATCCATTCTACCTATCAAGGCACTGAAGGCAGCTTAACGCATGCTAGATTAAACTGTTCTGTGTTTTCATCTGATGGTGTTATATTTTAGAGGTACGGACAATCAAATACATAGTCACTTGGGTCCCGATTCGGCATGCATGTTACACTTTATAACTTATATTGCACTGCAGTGACAAAGCGTTTTTTATGAGCGATTTAGTCCGCTGCTCCAAAAGAGGTCTACAATTTGGGTTGCTGTGCTTTCATTTGACATATAATCTACAATTTTTGCAAAATACTTGAAGTGAATTTTTTTAAAATTTGTTGTTTATTTAGATCTCGAAAGTTAAAACCATTTTTAGATTCATAGACACCTATTGGCTGATTAGACCCATAGTCTATTTCCTTTCTTGATGTGGTCTGTTAACTGCATCGGGATAAATGTAAGGGATAACTGTTGCTTAAATAAATGTACAGTGTGCATTGAATATGTTACCAATTTTGTAAGTTTGAAGCTTTTGAAGTATTCTTTGCTGGTTAATAAATCCAGTCAGTACTAAAAATCAAATGAGATTCCTGCATTTCATTTTACCCGTTATTTTTGGTGACTTCGTCCAAAACGTACTTTTGATGCTCTCATAACTTTTGCTAAATAGGTTAAATCACTCCTACAAAAACACCTAAATGAAAAGATTACTTACGTATGTGCGCAATTAGCACACATTTCCTGAATCAATCACCTTCGTTATATTGAAAGCTTCTACATTGGATTCATTTTGTGTATGACAATATGTATAATCTTTTTGTCAATCAGCAACTACAGAGGCACCTTCTGCTATAAAAAAAGCCTAAAAAACAGCAGCTACGATTATTTGATTCCATTGTTGTTTATTCCTCGGAATTTAAATTCTAATAGGTGGTATTCATGTTTACCATCATATTATTTTGCGTTTCCATGGGGTTATTTTACACGTCATGCTAGTTACATCTAACGACATATGAAAAAGTCTGTTTTTTAAAATTTAAAAAATTGATGATTACAACAAACATTACTAGGTTAATTTACTGCGTAATATAAATATCCTGTTAAAGAACGTGCTAAGAGTTCACTAAGGCTTTGATGGGAATGGAACATTTATATTGCCTGAACCCACTGATTACTCAACATCTAAATAAAGAGGTTTTGCCAAAAATTTTGTGACAATTATGGCATTTTATGAACCCATAAAACCTTTAATATTCTCTTCATTTCTGTTACACAGAGCAATTTAGTCATATTAATTGCTACTCAGGCTATATTTTTGATGATTTTTTACATTGTTTAGCTTTTTAAATGCCACCTATAATGACCTTTTAAAAAATACGATAACGTCCCTGTTTAAAGTAACTTGGCATTTCGCTCCCTTTTGACTCCTCGTGGTAAATCGCATTGTGTAGAATACCCGAGCCCTAATAGGTAAAAGACCGGTACAACAGAACAGGCTTTATTGACCAATCAGAAGCCAGAGCCACGCGTCAGGCACCTTTTATCCGTGTCCACCACGCTGCCCACGCCGCTCATTAAAAACAAATCCTCATTCTTGTCCTACTCTGGTTGGCTGCTTATCTTCCTTGCATGCCATTGGAACGCAGAGGAACACAGGATTGGCTGAGGCCAGGTGGTCCAACATGTCTGCGCCCTAATCCGACGCCACACCACACCACAATTGTACTTGACCAGTGTTCTGTAGTGTTCAACGTTGGGATGGCGGACCAGTCAATTGAAAGACAGATGCAAATATTTGAAATCGAGATGATGCAGAAGGTGTTTTCTAATATGACAAAATCATGCCTGCAGAAATGTATCCCTCCGCGGTATCAGGATGGTGAATTATCTAAGGGCGAATCTGTTTGCCTAGATCGTTGTGCTGCCAAATTCATGGAGGCCTACATGCATGCAACAAAAACATTAGGTGCGATTGCAAACCCAGGACTCCAACCCCAGTAATCGATTTGTTGAATGAGTTTCTGTACATAAATCAAGACTATAGGGTCTTTTGTGCTACTTTTTTATTTAAATGAAGCCTTGGTTTTTTCTCGAAGCTTATAACGTGTTTTTTCGTGCTTACATATCACTCTTGGGGACTGTCACAAAGGCATTTTTTATGCGAAGGTCATGTATCTTATGTCGGAGACTTTTTGCCCGTTTCGTTTTATCCCAACGGCGGAGTTGCGCACTAATTAGTACATTCGTTTTAAATCAAAGTTGACGCGGATTAATTGTTTAAGTCGATTTACTGCTTTCTCTTCACCATTTGGCCTTATTAGGGAATAACAGTTTATAGTGTGTTGCGTTTGTGGTGGTCTGAGCCAGATCGTGTACCTTAGGGGTAAGTAAATTGGTACCGTGTTGGGTATGACAGTGTACCTCAACGAATCAATAATGTGACTTTTGATTTAAATGAATTGATATGTTGACATTCAATGCTGGATTATGTGCAGAGTTTGGTGTTTCGCTGTATGCTGTTATTTTCTGTCAGTACTCTTTTTGAAATAAAAGACCTAAGATAACTGTAAGATTCAGTCCAAAATATGTTCACTTTGTTGCGAATCTTGGGGACCGTCTACCATCAACACCGTTTGCTCATTTCCGGATACTCACCCCCGTGTGCTTCTTGTGCCACTTGACCCTGTATCCGTGTCCACTTCTGGTGAACTATAGTCTATCTTGGACCATCCCTGCATGCTTCAACCAACTTCACTAATCTACGTTAAAATCCAAAAACTCATGTGTCATGTTTTGCATTTGTACGGTCAATAAATATGCTTGAACAGCTACGGCTGATCGAGTCTACATTCAGCGGCCTTGTAAACGGCTTGGCCTATTTCCCTTTCAGGCTTTTCTGGGTTCTTGGCTTCTGGTGGGGCCTCAACAGCAGTCATAATTTATCTGTTCCGGTGTGGGTGTGGGACTTACATTGGCGCCTTCAACAACTTTAATTCCGTGTATATTTGAATAAGCTACTCAAACGTTACGTTTAACCTGTTGGACCCCTAACTTGGAAACTGATGTTTTCTACTTACGCCTCAGCAGGCACTTTGAGAAAACGGACCTTTCCCTCCACCATCATGCTTTTCAAACCGGTGGTGGTGTTACGTTCTGCTTAAGTTTTAAAAGTAGCGATAATTTTTATGTCTACACAGTGCATAAGAGATGCGAGCAGTGGTGCAACGTTCTCTTTAACGGCTCTTTAAATTCCAGGACTGCGGAAGGCGCGCTAATTGTTGGCACAAGCCAAGTTTAGCTTAAGTTTTAGTTATTGGCTACACGGCACTGTGGTGCCTAACTATATAAGGCTACTGGGTTTTCTGCCTTTTTTGGTTTCCTCAACCGCTTAAACTTTGTTGCGTGGACGCCTAGTGCAATCGCAAAGCTTTGATATTAAATTAACCTTAGTATGCCGTGCTGCTCTCTGCTGAATCGTTCTATCTGTTCATCACATCCGCTATAGGTTGCTTCATCGGCGGTTCTAGACTCTGGATCCGCGTCGATGTGGGTTATTATCTGAAGACCCAATTCGGGGGTAGACGTCACTTGCCTTCTCACAAGATTAACTATCGCTTGTACTTAGGTCCAGTACCGAGGTGTTGGCGAATCGCACTCCATGTCGTCAAGATGTCGGTAACCAAGTCGTTCGGAGAAATGTCACGACGAGTTGGCGAAGGTAGCATTTTGGTTTTAAAACTGGCAATGTCGTCATGGCAATACTAAGTCATCTACACTTGTGCTCAGCGATCCTAAGGCCGACTATTCAGTATCCACTAAGGCCCAGAACTGGATTCGTGTTAGTGAGCTTCCCTGGAACCCACCCAACAGCGCCGTAGGCGTGAATTCTTATCGCTCACCGCACCGGATTAGCAAGTGCGACAATGAAGGTGCTCATCATTCCCCACCATTGTCTCACCGAGTGTGCCCTGCTGACTTTGTCCATTTCTACTTCTTTGTACCTCCGGCATTTGCATACAGACACGCGCAGGTGTAACCCAATACAGCTACTACTAGCCGGTGAATTAGTGATAATTCCCAGCCTATTCGCTCGCCAATCTCTCCACCGGTTCTGTTAATAATTGTCAGTTCAAGGACTCGCCTTCCCGAGCTACAATACAGTTGGCCCTTCGTTTGCCTATAGCAGAGGCTGAGGTTTATGCCCCAATCGTAGTAACTTCAAGACCTGTTGACTGGAGTCTTTCTAGTCTTAGTTACAAGGTTGGTTTTCGTGAATTGTGTTCTTCAAGGTTCTTTATTTTGCATACATATAACCATTAATCAGTCAATGTTTTGATTCGTCACAGTGGATTCGCTTTTATGAATATCAAAAACTGGTAAACACTTGGCTCTGATTGCTAATGTTTTTTTACCTCACTTACCTAGTCTATTTTTACACCAAGTGTATGTTTTCTCTTAAGCCAATTATGGTTGAGTGAGCGGCGGTAATTAAGCTCCTGCGCCGGCTCTATGTGGTCATCAAGAGCGCTTTATGGGAGGCCGTTTGCCGACACGGAATGTCGTCGCCACTACATTGTGCTTACTGCAATGCCGGAAACCGTAAAATGTTGCCTGTATGCGTGTGTGTTTTCAAAGTAAGGACCTATTCAGACAAAACAGGCCACTGAAAGTGGCTTCAGAAGGCCGGTTTGGAAGGGAGGGGCGGGTCGCACTTGGATATGCGGCAATTGGCGTAATCACAGTCGCTCGCGGCCTCCACGTCGTCTCCCCCTCTAGCCTTTTCCTCTCATCGCCTCCCATCTAAAGAGGTCTTGCTTTTCAAAGTCACTGGCCGCCCGTGTTTACACTCGCACTGCAAGTATGACGAAAGGATCCCACCAAAGGAAAAATTAGGGCCAAATCACAGACACGACACTGCGCCATCTTGAACCTGGAATGCCTATGACTTGCTTGTTTTTTTGACCTATCACAAAGGTGCAGTCTTTAGATGAATCGGAAGCACCTTAACTCGAATGGTTGCAGTGTGATTGTTGATCGTTTTAATTGATATCTCCCAAGTTGGTGCTGTGAGCCCCGGAATGTGGGCTCAAAACACGCCGAAGCCGCTGAGTTGAATCTGACCCGATTGCGCTACCCTGCTACCCGCACTGACGAAGAAGACCGGAGAGGATGTGGACACAACCGTTTACTTCTGGGCTCAACCAAGTTGGTGCCGTTGTGTTGTGAGTGGAGCAGCAACATGAGTCATAAATGTGCTAGCGTAGAGACCTAGGTGAAAGTTAGCACGTGTGGTGATAATCTCGGATGCGTGTTGGCGATAATTGGTGTGAGTTGAGGTTCCGCTAGGCTGGAGAATAGAGCGACCAGATTGACGAGTGGGAATTAACGAGATCCAAAGCAGCTCTTCACCTTAGAGGATTCGGCGAACCCTTTCTTCCAACAAGATTACTGAAGGGTGGGCTATAGGCTTTGAGCGTTTGCGATGTGGTTGTGATGTTGTGGGTCGTACTGAGATGGCCAATGGTAGTGTTTTTCATAAACAGAGCCACTATAGGTTCATCCTCGATTAACACTCAACAAAAGCGAACACCTCCGAAATTAGTACTACTCACCAATAAATATGCATTCAAATATTGTTCCAAATTACTGATGCATGTTGGCAGGACACGATGTCGATCTCAATTTGTAGAAAATAGTATGCATCGGAGCAAGGTCGCGTCTTTAATTACAAACCCACACAAACATGATTGTTTTTGATTTGAAACGCTTTTTTTCTGATGTTCGAACGAACAAGCGCCAGGATTGTACCATTTTTGAATGCAATTTCGTCTTTTCGGAGCTATGGGCACGGTGAATATTACATGAACTCTAGCCGGGGAGTGGGAGAGGGACGGAAAGTTTGGGGCGGGGCGGCCACCGTGGGAAAATGGAGGTGCGGCGAGATAAAAGAGGCGTGGGGAGCGTCCTAAAAGGATCTTTTAAATTGAAATAAGCGAGCCCTGAGGTTCGACAAAAAGCGATTTTTTCGAGAACACCAATCTTGTGTGGGTTGGTGCACACCGCATCTAATAAGCCTTCGGATATATTAGTTTGCCCTTGACAACGTCATTTCGGTTTAGCTTAGAACTTAGGCTTTCATGGATGAATCCGTGCCAAATACCTGGAGAAATCAAGTTGATTTGTTCCTTGAATGTGGTGAATGCGGGATATCGGAGAGTTTACTACCTTATTAAAATCGAAACAAGGTAATCCGTGAACACCAATCACTCTACTGCAGTTTTTGGACAAACTAAAATTGGGCTTACTCGTGAATTAAGTTACTATGTCGACATGTCGAAATTATTGTGCTTTAAGTTTCAGCCTATAAGACATGCAACCACGGATACGGCACAGTTTCTTTAACGTTAAACAGGTTAGGGTTACATTTTCGCTCGCCACACCTTGCTATAGGGATGAAAATGTGTATGAGACCCTGGAATATTTTAAGCCTGCATAAAATATTTATGTACAAAACTTCCTCCTGGTTAAAATCACGGCCAAGAAGATAATGCCGAATTCCAATCGGATTTACCGCTCTGTTCGTGTCGAGGCAACAAACTGGTTCTTCATGTTAGAGCCTGCATGCTAGCATTACCAATCATGTAAGCCTTGTGGTGTGGAGGCGTCTGTACGGACACTACGCAGAAGATCAGATAGATCAGAGGCACAGCTATCGCTTGAATTCGTCGAGTCGTAAGGTGCATTCAAAGTCGCGAAAGTAAGCTAGAAGAATCAGCAAGTGTAAAACAAACATCTGAGTGATAAGACAGGGGTTCATGATCAAATGTGGTCGTAGGATCGACGAAAAACTGAGAAAAGAGGGCCGCGTGTATAAATATGCGGTGACAGAGTGAATAACCAGGATTCACCACAATGGTAAAAACGAAGTTGGTGGTAGTCAGCCCTCATTGGGTGGCAATGCAGCAAGGCACATTTCGCGAGTGAAAAGCAGTGTGTGAAACCTCCAGGTAATATCCCCACCTTGCATTGGTATGAACTGCAAATGATGCGGGGTGATTCATGCTGATTCACGTCCACCAACCCGGTTGTCGCATTCTTTGTCGCATTGACCTCGCCTTTTCGCTGCGGGTTCGCCAGCTGTGCAGGCTCGTCGGCTCACACGCCCCGCTACCCGTTTCCCCCTCATCTGGCCATTCGGACATTTGTTCTTTTACAGGTAGGACAACAATCCTCTTAGTCAGTCACGATTGTTATGCAGGGGCGTGACTAGCGCGCTGGTATTACCATGCCACTGCAACACTGCGGCCCCAGCGCGGTTCGTAACCATATGCCAGGGCCCTCAACAAGTGTGTTACGAAATAGGACCGAATTAAGTGCGGTGAAAAACACTTTCAGTTTGATGCAAGCATTGCACCCTAGGGAATGACAAGCCACTTAAATCATTGTCAGCAATAAGCTTTCCTGACTGTTGTAAAATAGAGTGAGATATTTGTGAGCGACACACCCTTCTTTCTAGCCATTTACAGTCCAGAATACACTAGAGTTTTCTGAAGCCCGGTATATCGTACTGATTATTATGTACAAGTTAGCTCACATTAGAGCTATCGGTATTCCTGTTCTAGACAAACTTGTTGATACGGAGCCAGATCATAAATTAGAATGTTTGAAGCATTTATACAACGCACGGACCACAGGTGAAGACACTTTTTTCCAATCTACAACAGGGGCATGAGGCCAGTACTTTCCGAGATATCTATTAGTTTAAGCTCGATATAACAAGAGATTGGTACCTCCACGAATATCGTATCTCGTCGGATGCCATTGGCCGTAAAATGCATGCTTTTATGTGGTCTAAGTTTTTTCATGGGACACAATACAGGTTCCTGACTTTAGTTTTATCACATAAGCAAAGATTTCAGTTGCGTGTTTTTTGGCCACCTGCCCACGTTTCACTAGGGAATTTCAGTAGGCGGTTTGACATTTGTTTGGTCCAATCTTTTCTCATCGCCCAGCAAACTCGTCGTTACTTTCCTCAATTGCCATTTTGCCGGCATTAAAACGCATCGTCATTAACGCCGGAAAATTTTTACGGACGGTTTCGGATTTTAACAACTTGGAATTTATCGAAAGATCGATCGTTTCTTATAAGTTCACGTTCATGAAAACTCATTGACAAGGTTAAAGCGTGTTATTCCTGACTTTCAGTTTATTTGACTGAATTGGCGCAAAAAAGTAAGCTGCCGGTAAAAGCATGACTCCCAAGTTATCCCTATTATTGTGAGAGCGAGATGCAAGACTACGATGTCATGGAAGCGCTCAAAATTGTCGACATTCATTTGCATAGTACGCCGAACGGATTTTACATTTGATTGTCTCTGCATATAATACAAAATAAAGACGCCTCATTTTACTTCATAACCAGATCAGCAAATTCACTCGGAGGTGGAGCAGCCGCCATCTGAAAGTTGTTTTTCCTCAAATCCATCCTTCCTCCCTCCACACTAATGGGGCTCTTTGTGCCCTGCTGACGAGTGGGACTTAGGATGGTGGATGTCTGTAGGGGAAGCATGTTGTTCATAAGGGGGGCTGAGGAAGTCAAGGGGTCCCCCAGGTGGTTGTGCAGTTCTGAAAGAAAGCCATAGGGGTCGTGTCGACAGGAATAAGCTTCCATTGGATTGATGGTTGGCAGACCATCTTCATGGAGGCCCAAATCTATATCGCCTGCTGAAGTTGTCGTCGGGCAGCGAGTGAAAGTTTCGAAGCCATATTCGCCCCAAGTCTTTCCGGCAGTCCGACGAAGTGTTGGCCAGACCAGTGAGTCTCCTGTGCGACCGAACCCCTTGCTGAAGACAAACGGCTGGTCGGTGGGAGTTTGGACAGTGTCTGTGATGAGACCAGAGCTTGTAGCAGGTCGGGATAGAGCGAAACTACGAACCGAAGGTGGGCGCTGTAAGGTCTGTGGGGTGTAATCAAGGGATGAACAACGTTGAAGGTACACTGGAATGCCTCCACCACTTTCTGAAGTGCTGAGACATCCACCGTCTACGAACTGCATTTCACCCAGTCGGCTTTCTTGGTGGCGCCTTTAAAAAAACCGGAAAAATACGTGCATGTTTGTAAATGAAAGGGAGTGCAAATCATGGCATCACGTGGGCAGGAGCTACAGAGGAGAAAACTGCAATCAATGAACTAACGGGCACTCTTTTACACCTATAGATTCTGTCAAAGTCTAGTGTCGAGGATCCAGTACACTTTCCCGTAATAACGCAAGCACCTGTCTTAGCAAACTGTACACACAATGCTAGTATCAAAACAGGCTCATATATCAAATCTTAGGTGTTGGTATCTGTTGACTGGGAAGAATAATGCCGCCTTAAGACAGGAATTTAACCGCAGATGATGTAAGGGTTTTCCTGCTTGTCAAACAATGGCAGATCCTTGAACAGAAGCTTTTACCGATTATTTCTGTGGGCTGAAATCTGCAGACTGATAAAAGGAGGTGGATGCCCAACCTGGCATTTCACCGTATCTGTGATCTAAGGTTGTTGCTTTCACCAGAGTTGTTGAGAGAACGGAAGTGTGTGCTACTGGGCCGAATGTCGTCTATGCATTCTAAATTATTGCAATGGTGCAGGAGGTCACTACATTTGGCTTTCACTTGAACAAAGCAGGCAGCCTGCCTCCTTTGGGTGACCCGCAGTAGCCGCAGGCGCGATTAACGTCCTCTGTTTATGCAGGCGCAAATTGGATTTTGGCATTTGGGTAATTTATTTATTCTAATATTTTTCCACGGGTGTAAGGCGTTAGTAAGAGAGACGAGTTGATTTTGTCCTGCCATAAGTGATAAGAGACAAACCCAATGGTTTAGTACTGTAATTAATTACAATGAAATATAAACAGGCGGTTTCCAAGACGAGAGGAACGCAAAATGTGGCTCCTTCAAGTTAACACTATGGTTGGCCTCTCAATGATAAATCGTTGTCAGTGATGCACTACCACACAGTAAGTGGCATTCCAGTGCTTGTATGTGGGTTGGATGCACATCAAAGCCGGCCTCGAGGTATTTCAAACGACTTGGCCAAAGACGCCCAATATGGACACATTACCTCAAAAGTGCCGCCTTTGCTTTCATCCTGACGACGTAACAGCCGGCACCAAGGCATATTCCGAAGGCGAGTACAGTCAAACAGACTGCGACGGCGGCAAAAATCATAACTTGGTACCAAAGCTTCTAAAAGGAAAACACGGAAGAATCTTCATAACTAACATCTCACAACGCGAAAACTACGTGGTAAATCCTAAGGTTGAACTTTTGCTGTAGGTGGATAGGCAGATAGCCGTTTGCGCAGACCGGTGTAGTTCTTTGTGTTCTATAAGTATACAGACTGCAATAAATTTATGCAAGCTCGAGAGCTTCTTTTATCAAGTCTTGCAACGAACCTATTTCAGACACCACGACACGATATAAACTCAACATGATTTCGAGCGAAAAAAGACTAAATGCTTCCTTAGCCAAAATAACCGCCCGAATAAAGATGGTCTCCTTAGACTCACTTTCCATTTCCTACTTTACCTTAAAATTTGTTTCAGAGCTTGGGATTGTACTTACAGATTGGTCGGTTTTTAATCCCACCTAATTTGATAATTTAAGAAAATTAAAACTCGTGTTCGCAAATATGAGATAGAAACTTGAAGTGACGATTGGGCCGACAACCAATTTGCTTCATTCTTGTTAATTTAAAAGTGATGAGATGCTCATAAAACGTTACTTATTAACAAGAAATTTCAGGTTTTATGGCCTAAACAAATCCATGCATAAAATCGACAATTGTCAAGGTAGCAAAGATAATACTGTTGGCAAAGGTTGTTTTGGCTTTCAGAGAGGTTTTTCAAGCCTACAAACACCGCACCGAACCCTCTAGTGAAATTTTTAGTTAGAGTGACAAAAGACATGTGATGGCTCTTCAAACAAGTGTCACCAACCATTTATTTTGCGTAAATACTAATCCGATCGGCAAGTTAGTTATTGCAAGTTCCTGTCAACACACCTGAGAAAGAGAGGAAAGACTCGCATCCACGAAATTGGGGCATTCTAATGCAATCTGTTGAAATCAGGTTCTAATTATTCACAAACCAACCGACGACTACTGCACTGAGCCGTTTGTAAAATCGCTCTCGAACAAGTACAAGTCCAGCACAGCTAAATTATTATAAGATTAAACCACCAATGCTTGGTGTTGCATTTCGGTTATATTTAAGCAAATCTCGCTCATTTCGTTCCTGTAACGGTCAACTATTCTCTTTCTAGTTAAGGTAACTCACGGAATCGTCCCGGTCTGTCGTAACCAATCCGCAAATGCCTTACTTTTTGCAGGTACTACGCTTTGTCGACTTCTGCGAAAAACAGTTTTGCCATGCTACTCTGGAAAAAAACTATTGTATCAGTAAAGATAATCTGATTGCAACATAGTTTGGGGCACGCGAGAACGGAAATGTTCCAGGCCAAAAACTCCGGTTTGAAGGTTAAAAAGAGTACGAAATGCATGTTAAAGGAAAGCGAGTGATAATCTTATTATAATTACAACAGTTTGGGTTGCCATATACTGGAATATAGATTCAAAGTGCGGATAATTAATGGTAAGGGTAACCATGCTACTTTATACCCAGGGTTCATAATTTATAGCAAGTTCTTTAATGACGCATAGCCACACTTAGCAGTGCTTCTTCTGTGATCTTTCAATTCGTGTACTGTTTTAATGTGCCTCCTGTAATTGTTTTAATGCGCCGCATTCAAAGCTTATCCAGCATCGCTGATTAGGCGCAAAAGAGCTGTGTATGGACGTACTTGCAAAAATGTGATTTTTGCCCATCATCAACAGCCATGGAGGTTATAAGCAGAACCGCTTGTTAAGGCTTTTTAAAACTTATTTGAGACTACTTCTAAACATTCCGACAGAAAGCCATTTACCCCGTGTGGTGTCATAGTGTTCTTGTTAAATTAGATATTGGGATCTGCGATTATTTGTGGAAAGGATCAAATGGTATTTTGCGCCACCTTGTTTTTTTATGCTTTCCAGGGTTGGATGATGTACAGTGCATCGCCATAAGAGGCACCGTTTCCTCAATTATTGTGCATACCTCGAGTTTTTTGGCATTATGCAATAGGAAACTTGCATTATAGACGAAGGTATCAGTAAAATTAACGAGACTGCGGTTTCTGCTGCAGAAACGACGCTTGCTTACTGATTTACAACACCCTCCGCCTAAATCGGTCTGACCAAACCTAGTTAGATTTTTCACGTAACGATTGTTATGCAGAGAAAAACGCCAAAACCCAGTCCATGTTTCCCGATTTTTAATGTAGATATGGCATTGCGAGCCTATTGGCCGACAACGATTTTTTTGTAGAAACATGCGGTCACATTTAAGTTAAAAAATTGTAGTGGCTATGAAGCGTAACGACCCAAAATGTCTACATTTCTCATTAAATACCTGGTATATTAATGATGTACATTTAAAAGCCCATTACAAAAAATATGAACTCTTTAGAATAATATAAACTGGACTGCTGCTTCGATATACAACTTAAACGGTTTAGTGGAAATGCTGGGGGTATATCTAAGCATCAACGATCCTTTTTGGATCACCCCAACGTAACCAAACACCTCAGGTATTTTCGTAGCAAAGATACTAGCAGGATTGAAATTGTGATGGCGCTAATTTTGAATGCACGCTAACAGCAAAATTCTAAACCACCAGTAGACCCTTCATAATGCACAAACACTGCCCCCGTACGTGGGGTTTGTTCGTAGACATCAATCCACACACGCGTTAATATCCCAAGTCATTTTTATTAACATGTTTCACGGCTGTGCAAAATATTCCTCAATTAAAAGGCCAAAACCCATACGCTAATTGTGTATGTACAAGAACTGCAAGAGGTTAAATTCAGAAAATGTTTTTCCTTTAGATGGCTAAATTCAACATGCAACACGGTCATCAGAAATGCACTCCAGATATACCCTCTGAATGCACGAAAAGTAAACAGTCGAACGTGACCATTTTACAGACAGGGCCCTATTAATGGCAGGTTTGTGCACTTCAGTCACTGACGCGCAAAACGAGGTGACCGCTAGCAAGGCCCGAACCGCTCTACGAGCTGAACACCGTGACTGATTACGCACCTCCTCGCTCACTTCTTTCGGTCTCGCGTGTGAAGAATGGGTAACATGCATAATGCATTAGTGCGTAATCTGCACAAAAGTCTACAGTTGCATTAAATGCAAAGAAATGATATTGAAACAAAAAAATATTTGTGTTGGGTGACAACATTGAAATCACCTGCATTTTACATATTTTAATTAAAATGAATGACACATGTAAACGGGGCAAGCGAGACATGCTTTTACAAAGTAAAATATCAAAACTTTGAGACGGTATAAAACAAAGTGATTAACCCAGTGGCAAGTTAGAGGTAGGAATATAAAACAGGAATTCGCATTAAGATCAGTGCCTGAAGCTGACAAGGGAATAGTTGACCTTAAGGGTAGTTTTTCCGTGAAACAAGAACTATCAAATCAAAATAAAATACGAACTAAAGGATTATAACAAAACTTTTACTAGCATAAACACCAGGATTAGCCCAAATGATAGGAACTTTAAATAGGCTACCAAGTAATAATGGTAATTATATAGTATAACCACTTTTTGCACGCTTTGCTTAAGTTTACTTAGCAATAAATTTCTCCAAACAACGACTTGAATGTAGACCACATTAGATCTGTGCGCTTTTCAACTCCAGGCATCCTCCGAAGAGAGACGTGACACATGATTAAGCTGACACCGAATTTCTGCTTTTATGTCCACAACATAACCTTTTTTTCAAAAAAAATTAACTACCAGCACCTCAAATTGCCACTGATATCTATGGTAGGTTTTAGTCGAAATCAGGATGCGTTTGTTAATAGTAATGAACAATTATAATCACTAAATTCCCTTTGAAAAAAAAACTAGTTGTATTGCAGCTTGAATGTTACAGATTTCCCTTGCTAGAATAAGTGGCTTTGGGCATTTCAGTGGTAAAAAAAATTAAAAAGGTATTGTTTTTATACCAGATTTTATTCCGCGTAATGCAGGAAAATTTAAACAGAGCTCAAGGGACCTGATGTTTAGATAATAGCGAAAGCAACTGCTGCAGTGAAAAACTAGTTTTTTTTTTGCAGAATTCCTTGATTTCTGTCCACATTTTATTATAATGAGCCCCCCGAGTCCAGCGATTTCAGATCGCACCGGAAATCGAGTTGCTCGAATCAAAACACACAATTTTAACGGCACACCGAACCCTTCCGGCACCACTAAGATCACAGTATACTTCCTGTTTTTTTAAATGTCCGCTGCATGCATCGCCGAATTTCGTAGGTTTAACGAGAACAGCAAATTCTTGTGTGAGACCATAACAATTCACCCTCCACAAGTGCTACTGCTAATTCAGTGCAGCTTAGAGCAGTCTCAGCTGAAATGGCACATAAGTGAACAGCTTGCGCATTCGTAGTTCAAGGGCACCTTCGGAAAGAAGTACTTCTCTGTCAGAATGTCACATTAGCTTCACACAAGCGAATACTTCACTTAGACGGTCTTCGTTCGTTCTTCGTCTATTTAAACCCAAACAGCTTCACGTAAACAAGCCTTTTTCACACTCTCTTAGAGCAGAACAGATGTGTAAATTGATGTAAATAACAAGCCCTGACGGACTGGCGTATGTTGTGCCCTTATAAATAAGCAAACGTAAACAATTTAACCTTAAGCTTCAGGTCTCGCTTACAGGTCGAAACAGTCGAGTCAGCCGTGGCAAAACGTCAAAGCCACATCAGCGCTATCGGTGATTAATGATGCCACAAACCAGTGTCACATTCTTCCGTCCATATTCTAACCGGTTTTTAGCTCGCGGCGATCAGCGAGCGAACACGATTTCAGGGGATTTAAGTGAATGCATTTCAAGTAGCAATGCTCATTTAGAGGTCGATATTAACTGATTCTATATATACTGAGGACTTATTACCTCGCATATTACCATATCAATAAATCAGTTAAAATAAGCGTAATCTGCGGGCCCCATCTTGTTGTTCATCAGCCCCGGTGCAGTTTGAGGACTACACAGGGGTTTTAACAAGGTAAGGTGATTAACACAAAAGTAGAGGCTTCAAGCAACGAAAGAAGGACATATATTCCATAAAAATGAGTCTGATATTCCATGTCGATAGTGTCAATTAACTATCAAATAAGAAGAATTAGGGGGTTTGCCTTGGAGACATGCATTTAACGCAACATGCATTCTACGACCAGCGTTCCTTGCCTAGGCACTAATGTGACAGAGTCTAGGCATTCCTCTTCACCCCTCAAATGAAGCATGAAACGAAATTGCTGACCTTGACCCAGGAAGCATAGCTGGTTGCATTCAAACTGACACCCTAAATGTCTGAAACAAATAACCGGCATAGTAAATAGTGCGAAGTTGTAATATATTAGTTTGAACCAATTATGCGATTTTGCAAAACCCACGAAAGTCAAACTTTTATTGAACAGAGTTGATTCTCCACATAACCACATCTATACGTTCAATTTGGTCTAGTCTCAAACGACCGTGAGTGGAGCGTATTCAAGGGTTGATCGAATGTCATCGATTGTCAATCACGGTTGACGTTTGACATTCACTCACGTGCTGTGATATAAAAGGATTCGGGTGGTCAAATTTAAACAAATCGTTGTATTCGCTACCATCGGTCTTGCCTTATTTCTCGGACTGTTGAGGACTTTCGACTAGCAGGGTTATAAGGTAGTGCTAACGACGCCGCGACACAATCATCTACAAAAGGGAATCTAGCATTTCCAACGAAAAATCGAAAACCTCCCAGTCGCCAAACCTCTTCACTTCGAAAGCAGTGCCACAAATTCCAACATTCATAAAACACCTCGTCGTTCTAGATATTCCAGAAGATTCCCAACTTGTCAGGTCACATCAAAGAGTGACAGCGTAGGCCGATTTAAAAACAGCTGATTTGTCTCACGCTAAAATTACCGCACTGGGAGCATTAGTCTGCGCCACAGTGAATGCAGCAATAGTTGTCATGCTGTTGTGAACTAACATTATCTGGACCTGGCTGTCCCAATGCTCCAGATGGTCGGCTGTCGAGCACTTCGTCAGCTGAGGGCTGCAGAATAGAGACGTTGTTCGTCGGGTTACTCATTTGTGTTTTGCTGGAAACAGGGGGTGGAGGTGGTTGGGGTGTTGTGGGCGGCACCTCACGGTAAATCTCGCATCGTACACCCATTCGGGAGGGCGGACAGATGCAAATTGGCATTGTAGTCGAATCCATGGCGCCCTCTTCGTCCTGGGCTTTGTTTATACATTGGCCACCGTTCAGACAGTAGTTTGGCATTGAACCGCATCTGTCGTAGATGCAGGCACCTGTCACGTTGTCTTTGATATAACCTCGGAAAAGTGCATGAAATTATTTAAAATAACTGAATCACCGTGAAGCTTAGCGACATTTTCTGGCAGCCACAAAGGCTTGCTAATTCAAAAATCCATGGTTAAAAGCACTCTGGATAATGTGAGAAACTGTAAAACGGAGGTTGTAGGGGCCTTAATTATGTACACAATGCAAATTAAACGAACGCTTTAGCCGATTCTTCGCACGTTTTGACTTGAGAGATCTCATCATAGGGCTCACGCGTACAGAAAGGGGATACGGAACCAACGAATCTTACACTATTCTTCTTCCCTTTTTAACGCATAGAAAATGAAGCGGTTGAATAATTTAGTTTGCACGTGATAGTGCTGACGTTGACGGATTTTGGCCTCCAACAAATCAATACAACTTCGAAGTACGCAAATGCACCCGCAGTCACGACGACTCGGTAACATAAACACTGCCGCATTGTCTGGCTCCTGTCAACTCGTGTAAACAACCAGGCACCTGTGTTAAACTGTTCGATTGGTGTCAGGTAACCAGATTTACCCATCACTCGGAGTTAGCGGGTGACAGAGTGGCGACTGATAAGCAATCTCCATGTTTTCAACCTGATTTAGCTTCCGTGTGCGTTTGTGCTTCAAAAAAATTTGATATTAATAAAGTTCAGCAAGTAAAACAAAATATATTTTAACCCCGTACTAGTAGATTCTGAAAAAAGTTCAATTTGAAATTTTATTGGCATTAATGTCTGCCTCTTCATGCGCTTAAAACACTTCATTGGATGGCAATTAATTTGGCTAATGTTAGTTTGCATCATTTTGGCCAAGCCAGTCAAGCACAAATCAACAATAACAACAAAACCTGAACTGAAGTTGCATGACATCTTAACAACAAGTCAGCGGCTGTGCCAATTGTCCCTGTGCCTCGTTGGCATGTCCCACTAATGAATCGAATCTGTCATTCATTTAGGCACTAATTTGCTTCCGTGTCCCTCAGTAAACAAGTAGGAAGAAGTAGAAAATGATTTATTTTGAGGTTTCACTTCACAAAACTCCCAAAGCTAAAGTTGACGGAATCACTTTCATGTTAGAGAATACCTTCTCGTCAATTATAGATTTGGGAGCCCCTGAAAATGCAGACTGTTATGAATTACAAGAAATTTAATGCAATTTTTTACAACGAATTCGGTAAGTGGAAAGACGAATAAAATGAATGGCTAATAAAGCCCGTAGGGTTTACGAGTCGAGTAGAGAACAGAACTCATCCTTATTCAATATTCGCAACCTTGGTTGCATTACTGCGAACTTTAGTGCCCATGGTAGGAAGGGGGTTAGAATCCCATTGTAATAGTCCTGTAAGTTCGACCAAAGGAGTGTCCTAACGCTATTCGACCACTAAAGTACTCAATTGGCAACACCAATATGTGATACCACTGAATGCGATCTGTGTAGCTTGACAAGGAGTAGAAATTGACAGCGGTTGATCAATTATCCGAGCTACCACAAGCCTGTCAACATGATCTTTACATATCTTTACAGCCCTGCAATGTACGCCAACTAACATGTAAAATTATGCGTTGAAGGAATATTGATAGGAAGAAGCTCTCGAAAAATGAGCCTTCGAATGAGCCCTGAGATGTCCTTGAAGTGCAACGAGTATGGTGCGAACTGTGGAATTACACGCTCGAGTACCACATTCTAGTATCCCAACGATTAATTCATGAAATTAAGAATTAAGAAACACTTAGTCAACCGACGATTTCCGACACAAAGCCAGTTCCTACTTCTGACAAATACCTGCATATTATGAACTTCATTTTAGTAAACCGCATAAATTCTTGTTTGAACAGGTTCAGCAATATCGTAGCCATTTCTCTCCTTATCAAACAATTGTTTTGTTAACCTATAGCAGACGTCGAATAGATTTGAAGTAACTGCCTTCAGGTTCATCTGCAGCCGCGATTTGAGATATGTAGAATACCTTATTTTACCAATTGTTTTTCGGATAGTGCCTTCACAAGGCACCCCTTTTAAAGTTTGAACAATGAAATGTCAGCCGCTACGACACAGGCTGCGCATATCGACGTAGCTAATTTTAGATTAAAGCGAAAACTCATCTTTTGTGTCGAGCACTGCCCACCGCCAATTCAGTTCTTGGTTTTTCAACGCTGCCTTGACTGTTCCAATTGGGAGGCTCTGTGTGACCTGTGTTTACTTAAACTAACCTACTCCGACAGCAGAGCCACCAGGTACAAGCATTTATTATCATCCCTGCTGCAAATTTTATTACCGTTCTTCCGAATGACTTCCAGATGTGAGGTCCAGGAGCGACCAGAGCAGTTTCCTGGTCGACACAGGTCACATTTTTGGAAGATAGAAAATAACTTCGATGTGAAGAAACAAGAAATGTACTGATTACGATTCAGAATTATGGCTGGAAAAATCATTACCCTTATGGCATGTCGATGAATATTATTATTTAATCATTATTAATCCCCTACAATCCATCCTCACTCGAATTAAGATGACTGAAAAAATTTTGCAAACAGACGTAAATGTTTGGCTTAGTATTCATGCATAAATCAATGTTCAAATGCTGCAGACAGTGAAATTTTCCCTGCCACTGAGTCATACTTAAAAACAAAATTAGCAATTTGGCGATATGACTAGCACGTTTTAGTGTCCTACATCATTCACCCACTTTCCAAAGCACTCCCCTAAATCCTATCAAACAACTCACCAGGATTACAAATCTTTTCCCCCGTCAAACTACAGCGATATTCCTTGGCCTCCGAGGAGCAGAAGACGTTGCAGAGGTCACCGAAGTAATCAGCCAAACAGGTGTAGGCAAATTGAAATTGCAAAATTCTGAAATTGGAGGAATAAAAACGACTGAGATCACCAACATTACTTGCAACAATTGCCACGAAATTGTGAAGTCAAGTGAGGAGGCACCTTGCATAGTTTTCGCCAGTGAATATATAAATTTTAGTTTTGGAAACTGGGATTGAAGGAACATAGTGGAAATTTTGTTTTATGTATTGATGAAAAACCTGACTGATGGTACCTAACCTTGTTACAGTTGATATCAGATGCTGCTTAATGGTTATGCAAGAAAGGAAAACCGTGAATTTCATAGCAAGGTGATTCGACATTATTGTGGTCTGACCCCTGATTTTGTTAAATTTTGAAGTTCATTCTTATCTGCTTAAGTGCCATCATGGAAGATGACTTAGTATTGCCATGTGTTTCAGGTTTCCAAACGCAAACCACGTTCAAATTAATCAATCACTTCAATTTAACTCCTCGTCATCAGCGCCATGGAAGATGGCAGTAAATTACTTTTTAAAACCGATTGCATTCAACAGCCGGATTCGTGTGGGGATTGATTTTGTCGATTTATTTCTAGGATTTAACTAATGGGCTGGAAATGACATTTATGAACGCAGACGCTTGACGCACTTGGAGACATCATTAAACTGGTGCAGAAAGGAACAAGATGATCGTTGGGTCACAGCTGTAGTTTAAGACAAAGTATTAACCAGGTATGCTACACGCCACACAACTACAATAATTTATTTTGAACTGATGCAACTGTAGAGACACCAACTCATACCATTATAGATACCATCTCGCCTCTCTATTCAATTACCGACGTTTATCAGCGTTGATGCACGCCGACCGTATGCCGAACTCATGCACGTCTGATGGCCACATTTACGCGTACGCACGTGTGTTCTCAATCGATAGGCGCTCTTCGATTGGTCTCCTCGTTTTGCCGGTAAAAGGACCGCCCGAATAAACACGTGGTGTGTGCTCGGGTGGAGCTCCGCGGGAATCCGTCGCTGGGCCGTTTCTGTCACCGGTTTGTGGCGTGGGACAGGCACAATGTCGCGCCATCACATAGGCAATCGGGGCCATGACTGTTATGAACTAGTTGGCCAGGGCAGCGTTTAAGCACTAATTCCCAGAAGGAAAACAGCTGTGACATGATTTACAATTGCCTTTCAAGTCGATTACCGGCTTAATTGAAATTAGTGGCACCTGTGCCATGTTTATAGTCTAGTTCGGAAGGCAAATTTGAGTAGCTTTTTCGCCAAAAAACAATCGAAATGACCGAGCCAGTTAAAGTGTTGTTCTTAGGTTAACGATACATCCCATTTACGCAGTGCTGTGAAGTCATGACATTATTGGGTAGATATTATACTCTGGCCGATACAAGGAAGCACTGAAAAAATTACATTACACAGACTCCGAGGTCCACAACGTAACACAACACGTGGGGCTATTGAAAGGCCTTTTTAGACATGTCACGCAGCATAACAATACAGAGGCTGGGGTGGGCATTTATGGGCCGTTTTGGGTTCCGTGAAAATTATAGTCATCATCCCCTAGCACAGAGACAGGAACTACATAGCTGTTTTGCGATCAGTCATGCATGTGTAACTTAACTGGCACTCACATGTCAGTAAGCGTAAAAGTAGAACTTGAGTGCGGGAATGAACACCCACTTCGATCATTCGACCCCTCAGTTGCTCCTTCAAGCCAAGGTTCGAGATGTGACGGATACCTGCCACTGGATCCAACTCAAAATGCAGACCGAAATAGCCAATGGAAGGAACTGCTTTTGTGGGCATCAGTGGTAGGGCTGGTAATATTTTCTACGTCTCCAGTTTAGTTTTAATTGTGAAAAATGGTTACGAGGAGAAATTTTACAACTTCGTCTCATCTCTTAATTGTACCGAATGGCTCAATCACACATGCGGTGGATCGGGCGTTGTTCTTTCATATATTAATATTACTGACGCTTAAAAGGGAAAGTATCTAGGCCCTAGAGAATCTGAAAATTCCAGCAGACAAGGGGACTCATACTGCTTCAAATTCAGCCCACGCGGAAACGATCACGATGTCCTGGCTGTTACGAGCAAGTAGCAGTTGAGCTCCACAGCTCATTGTGAACCGAATTGGCATATGTGAGGTCTGTCCACTGACATTTTAATTTGCATTTGCTTATATTGGGGTGGCAAGACATTATAATTAGGTCACTCGTTTGTTTCTAGCTAAGGTAAAAGTGAAAGTTCGCGGTAGTTTAAACGATCAGAGAAGCGAGCAAAAATTATCTCGAGCCCTTGTCTGTTTATCACATCCCACCATTAGATATCCCTCAGATTGCAAGTTCGTCAAAGGTTGACTTTTAAAGTGGTCCTAATTTCCGTCAGTCTTCACCAATTAGCAAACAGCACAGCTTCGACTCTCCTGATCACCCAGTGCGGCAATTACCGCGGGACTGTTAATATGGATAAATGGTTTACAGTGAAGGACATAGCAGCGTGTGCATCCCGTGACTGATACGGTTTTGTGTACCTTCGCTCGATAGGTTGCTCCGAATTTTGGTTATAGACCGATCAAGTCAGTATCATGCCTCATTGACTAATGGAGTTGTGACAGCAGTTTCGTCTTCCCAAATTTAAATTCGCGATCCACGTTTGGGGGTCTGATGGCTCACTCCGTGTTGCCTGATGTTGCGTGGCCTCTGTGGAGTCGGTTCTACCTACTTTTTAACTAGACCTCACGGTTGCTTTAATGAACCTTACAAATCGTCCACACCAACTTCTTAGACTCAAGGTCATTTCTGGCACATTAGCAAGTGTATGTGAACGTTACAGCAAGTTAAAACTGTTCTTAGTGGCAGTGAGTTCTTTATAACTAGCTACGCAGCTTCTGGGACGAACACCAAACCTGACCACCAACCGAAATAAGCGGGACTGTCGTTCATAATCGACACAAATCCAAATGGTAACCAAATGACTTTGCTGGGTAATTGGGTTAAGGCCCCTTCCTTCTTCCCCCAAATTAATCAAACCGTTCTGTTCGCTCCCTCTGCATGACGTCCTGTAGCAAAAATGAATAACTGCAGCTCTTCTCTTACTGATCCCAATTCCATTTAATGTGTCCTATAATCGTTCATCAGAAGCGCTAGTCCAATAACATGTTTCAAACAAAATGTCAATAATTTTCAAGCAACGTTTTTTTGGTAGTGGGAGCATCGCGACCACACCAAAACTGGACCCCTTGATTTTCACCGCTGACGATTTAAAATACTGTTCTGTAGTAAATGTGTACAGAACTGTGCTTTTCTTAAGCGTCTTTACTACATGGAAATTTAAGCAGTGGCAAATTCGAAGCTATCAATATTTAATAAAACAACAAGAAATAAGCCAATAAGTTATTATTTGGAAGAAACAGCGAAGCGCATTGTGTAAATGGTAATTATCACGTTGTAATTCTACAAGGCTATTTCCATTAAGCTAGGCGTCAAACGCGTAAAAGATTAATGAATATGTACGAAACATTCCGTCAGTAACTTAAGCTAAGCCTTCCTATCGAATAGGTAGGTGCGAAAAGATCCCGATCCAGCCTCTACTAAAAAGTGGTTTCATTGCGACATCTAAAGATGTCGAGGTCACTACTCCGGTCTCATCAGTACTCAGCCATCTCTGCCACAATCGTTTTGCACTTAGCAACCTAAAAACAGCGTCGTAATGACGTGGTTTTCTTGTTTACACAACGTCGTCTTCTTCCAGTCTCAATCCTTGAATCGCACCTTCTAAGAATCTCAAATGCTGCATCTAAAGTTAGGCCAAATGGACTTGAAATGGCTGCCTGGGGTCCGTAAAAGTTTTGTGCGTAACTTCAAAGTCCAGCTTCGAGGTGAAGCTGATGTGAAGAGAATAGTGGACTCAAGCAAGCTTCACAGCGTTTCTCACAACCCCTTCCAGCATCAGTCTTGCATTGCTTTAAAACACACCTCTACTTTTCAGACCAGAGAAATGTCACAAGAGATAGGCCACATTTGGAATCGCTCTTTCTCCCCACTTCCTACTTAACGTCAAGGCTGTAATTTACAATGGGGCACGTCATTCAATGAGACGTGTTTCAAAGTACACAAGGCTGCGGTCAACATGAAATTCGTTTGTGCCAATTGTTGTCTATTTTTTGAGTGTCCGAATTAAGCTCCCAATTCTTTTCTATTACTTTACTTACAAGAATAATTATTCCTATCACCTGTAACCAACTTTTGAAAAAAAAACTATGGAAATCGGTACTAGAAGATGCATGATATTTTGCTACCACAGATATTAGAGTCTGCACCAAAATATTGTTTGTGGCTTTTTCGAAAGTGGTTGAAATCCTATACCTGTTTACCACCATTAATGTCTCGAGTGCGTGCAAACGCAATCTCGTTGCGTGATGATCAGTGGTTAATTTCGGTAAACGTTTTGAGAAAAATTTCGTAAATAAACCACACAGACAACACGAACTCTAAGAGCATCCTTTTAATGAACACTTTTAATGGTTTGTCCGTGGAACCATAGTCAGCAGAAGCCTGTTTAGAGAAGTTTACCTGAAGTTAGTTTTTATCTTTGGCGTCCACCGAATCCGACACACCACCACTGATCACTTTGCATATAGTACTTGACAAGTGTCTCCACACGTACACCCCCACCATGGTAACTTAGGTCAAGTTAATAACCAGACGAATTTGATCACTTCACCATTTTTTCGAAGGGAAAATTTCGGTTAGTTCCACAATACTGATCCCGTGTAGTGGCAGTCATCTGTACACTCATGTGGACACAAGCATGTTCAGAAGCCTCATTTAAAACTGCAACTTTCAAAAAATTCATCGAATAACTCCAGTTATCTAACGAAATGACCAACCAGGGTATGATACAAATCAAATCGACCATCATTCTTCCGAGATAGACAACAGGTGAGCAAATCGGTCTTCGCTTTTTTGGTGTAAAATTCCATTTCTCGGTTTGTCGAGCTTACGACAAATTTAAACTAATGCAGACGCTTTACTTTGCAAAACTAAATTTGCGTTTATCTGGAGCAACGGTGAACGGTTTGAGTGTGTTTTCTGACAACTGCAGAGTGCCTTCAAATATCAAAGTCTGCCCGAAGCGGGACTTTTCAACAAAAAAGCGAAAAATTACGTGCCACCCAACAAAACCGGAATTGTTGAGCTGCTATAGCACATTTGCGTCTTTTGATTTGGCAGTTGGAGGGAAAATTGTGATGGTCACGGGAGCACGGCAGTCCGCAGTTGCAAAAACCACGACAAACTCAAGTTCCCAATCGACCGCATTTTGAGATTGTTTGAATCGTATAATGTGCGTTCTTATGCGCCTCTTTCTTAGCTTCTTAGATTCAGTTATAATGCTGAAATTGTGCAGACGGATTACATTGCACTCGGATACACATCTTTTTAATGTATTAATGTTAATTTATAAACCTCAGTCGCGTCTTTTTTCACCTTAGTCCATTTACACCCTGACTACTCAAGACTTGTACATGGAACAGTTGTGACGTATGTCAGAATGCGCATCAAATCTCGCCGCGCTGACACTAATGGGACCATTTCTAGTTTGAAGGTGGATAGATTATTTTGCAATCGCACTATTTTACGGAGAATTTAAAGCATCAAGACCGTAAAAAGCCCAACTACAGAACAATATGCAGCACAAGATATTTGAAATGAAGCCTCTGGAAGAACACCACTAGATCTCAAACAGAACCAAACCGTTGTTGCAGCTTTGGGAGATTGAATGGTCCATAATGACGCATTTGTGAGAAATGGCAGAAACCGCGGGACTCACATTTTAAGGTTCTTGGTTGTTGCATCGATGGGACGTGGGAATGTAAGATTCGCTGTTACCGGTTGAAGTTGGAATTCCTTGTCTGTGGTTGTGTCTCTGATTGTCGCGTCTACCCTGAGTGGCTCCTCCTAAATTATTGATGCAAAACTTACAACCACATGGTCTAACTTTGAGGAGAGTCGGCCAATTCAATTATGGGAGATGAAGCCAATTCTAAAAGACATGCCTCCCCATTTTGATTGGTTACGCCCACAGTGCCGGGTCAAATGAAAGTGGCATTTAGCAATCTGTCAAGTGCCTGGACCAACTTCGGTTCCCGCACTGCAGTTTCCATATCGACTAGCTTAAAGCAAAAGGCTGAGTGACCCTTGCAGAGGCCAGTATTGCAATAATTAGATCAATCAAACAATTTGTAGGTTAGAAAGCTAGCTAGTCTTTGTATACAATCTTGGCAAGGACCTCAATCTTAAGCACAAAAAATATCAGCTTGGGAATGGTATTTCACTGACGCGGAATAGGTAACAGGAGTGAATTACAACGCAACGAAGCCTAAAGACCGGAAAGGATTAATCAAATGATCACTGCCAAAACCGTTGTAACAATGAGAATCGACTCGCCTAGTCATGTGGTCACTTGGGAATTAGTCGAAAAGCAAATTTTCTAAATGGCAAAAGGCACACGGAAAGCTTACCACATCATCGACCTCAAATTGTATGACCTCTTTGGGCCCATAAGCCGCACAGGCTGCCTGAACGTAAAATAAATGAGGCCCGAATATTCGACATCTAAAGAGAAACACGTTTTTGTGTGGTTTTACTAAATTAAAAAGCGTTTTGGTACAATGGCAGCAAAAGAGACTAACGTTACAGAATAACTAATAAGGTTTACTATAGTCACGAAAGTGTTCTACTAGAAATGCGCTGTATTAAAAATGCTACACAAACGGAGAGGCCTAAGAATGTACTTTTTTGTGA